AAATACTTGCAAAAAAATAATTATTTATATAAAATGCTGACAGTTAGAGGTGAAAAACTGGGCTCGGTCTGGAGGGCCGGCCCGCCAATATATTTTTATAATTCAATTGAAATTTTATTTTTCTTCTTTTATAATTAAATTATTAAATCTAATTTCAATTTTTGTAAATACAAATTTGTGAAATTTCAAAGACTAACGACACTAATCATTGCAAAAAAAATTATTTATATAAAATGCTGACAGTTAGAGGTGGAAAACTGGGCTCGGCCCGAAGGGTCGGCTCGCTAATATATTTTTATAATTCAACTAAAATTTTATCCTTCTTCTTTTATAATTAAATTACTAAATCTGATTTTAATTTTTGTAAATATAAGTTTGTGAAATTTCAAAGACTAACGACACAAATTCTTGCAAAAAAAATAATTGTTTATTATTATTTTATAAATCTGATTATAGTAAATGAAAGTTCATCTCTCAGATAAAATATAAAAACCTAGACGCAACTATAAAAATCTTTTTTTGTGGATAAATATAAAAACTTTTTACATGCTGATAGTTAGATGTGGCAAACTGGACTCGGCCCGGAGGGCCGACCCACAAACATATTTTTATAATTAAATTAAAATTTCATCCTTCTTCTTTTATATATAATTCCTAAATTTGATTTTTTTATTTTTGTAAATACAAATTTTTAAAATTCCAAATATTAACGACACAAATCCTTGCAAATAATAATTATTTATTATTATTTTTTAAATGTGATTGCAATAAATGAAAGTCTATCTCAAATATTAGTGTAGTTGCTTTTATTTTGTTCATATGCATTTGTTGCAATGTAAGCAAAAAATATGACTTATACATGCTTATTTGATTAAGTTGCATTCAAATCCCGTTCAGACAACATTTTTTTTTGTCCTTAAAAAAATTTAATCCAATCCTTTTTTTTGTTGATACTATGACTTTTGGGTGTTAACATATTAGTGTTATTTATTTAATGAGTTTTTTCCTTCTGTATCGTAGGCACAAGGAACGAAAATCACACAAGAAATGACATATTTAGTAAGTGTTGAACTCATCCCTCCAATCATTGCTAAGAAATGACACTGAATGAATAGAGTTTTCATATTATAGGTAAAAGCTGATATTTGAAATCCATATTTGCTTGGTGTTATTGTTACCTTGATTTTGTTGATGAATGTTATAGTTAGCAATGATTTGTACGCATTTTTCTTTTTATATCCCTTTCTTATGTTAACATAGTGTATTATAATGTATTATGGTGTATTATGATGTAGTTGTATGCAAAATTAATTATCCCTCTGAATAACAGATTTTTGTTTGTGGTTGATATTTGCAAATCTCTGTGTCAATGCTGTAATTTTTTCACCTGAAATATAGAACAAAATAACAACACAGTTTTTTGTAAATATAAGGTTTGCAGTGTGATTAACCAACCACGACATACGACAAAATTTTTGATCTTTTTTCCCCGTGCATCGCACGAGTAATATACTAGTTTTGTATTGAAGCTTGGTGGAAGCTGAAGAGTTTTTAGATTTTGAATTTTGAATTTTATAGGTGGAAAAAAAGTTCAGAATCTTTTAGTGACAAACAATCATAACAATATCTACTACTTTTTGCATTGGTAATTGTTAAGCTCATTGATAATAGTAATAATAATATTCCACTTAAACACGTTGGTTTTAAAAATAAAATTTCTTTTATTAAATTGATTTACTTAAACAAATAGGTCTTAAAAATAAATTTTCTTTTATTAAAATGATTTCTTTTAAATAAAATAAAAATAAAAAAAACTAAAGAAAAAGTAAGCCTTCAACATATGCAATTAAAGTCATTGTTGTCTACCAAATGAAAGAACAAGTCATTGTTACGTCGATTTTTAATGTTAAAGAAAATTAAAATAATAAATAATAATTAATTTGTAAAAACGATAAGATAATCTATCAATCTATATATATATATAAAGGAATCACTTTTTTGTCTTTACAAGTCATGATTTTTATCTCCAACCACACGAGTAATATTACCGTTTATATATTCTAGTAATATGATATGTTCATGAGTTAAACTGTTTATGTTATTTAACTTTCTTTACATACCAATGAACTTTATTAGGTCATAAGGTAACATTTTTTATTAAGTCGCGTCTAATAACAATACTAATAATAGCTACTTGTCTCGAGGGGACACTCATATGGTTAAGATTGAGTTTCCCAATTTTAGGAGGTTCTATGTTCAGATCATATAGATGCAATCTTGGAAGATGAAAATACTAACCTTACAAATTAGTTAGCTATGCGAATCTTTTTTTTTTTTTTTTTTGTAAATAAAGAGGGGCTAAGATTACAGTAAGCGACCTTAACCAAAGAAGTTGAGTGATGATTATTGATCCAAACTAATCTATCCTCCCCATTCCTTGGAATAAGCCTGAGATGATTTGTTACTGCATCAGCCAAATCTGACTCCAGAAATTGATGAACAGCTTCAAGACGGAAACCATCATCCACCATGTAATCTGCAATTGATTTCTGACTCTCCTCCCACGGCACCTGATTGCTCGACAACTGCTGCAAATTTTCCTCCCATCCCAACCAGTTATCAGTCCAAAGCTTTACTTCATGTGTCATTTTTTATAAGAACCATCTGCTATTTCCCATCTAAGACCAACAAGGAAATTACTCCAACATTTAGCAAGATCACGCCAAAGTTTAGAGTCATATGATTTTGCCTTTATACCTCTCCTTAAATCTTGACCTCTACCATACTTGGCTACTAAAATCTTAACCCATAAATCATCTTTCGTAGTTAACACCTTCCACGCCAGTTTATGAATATAAGCTTCATTTTGGAGTCGAAGATTAATAATTCCCAAACCACCTCTAACTTTGGGTTTATACATTTGATCCCAAGCTACAAAATGAGCCCGCCTTCTACTATCCTGATCTCCCCAAATGAAAGCCCTTTGTATCTGCTCAATTTCATCACAAAACGTTACTGGTAAAACTGCATATGGAAAGAAGGGATTGCAGTAATGACCGATTTCACCAAAGTAACCCGACCAGCAAAAGAAAGGCAATGACTTTTCCAACCATCCAGTTTTGAACGTATCCTATCCTTGATAGCTCCATAGTCTACTTTAATATATCTCCCTTGTTTAACAATAGAGCCTAAATATCTGCCAATACTAGAAGTGCGCTTAAAGCCCATTCTGTTGACAATCCTTGCAGCAACTTGAGTATCAGTATTCGGGGAAAAATAAATCAAAGATTTATTTTCACTAACACTTTGCCCCGACATCTCACAAAAGAGATTAATACAATCCATAATCACCTTAGCTTGCTCCATATCTGCTTGCGCAAAGAGAATGATATCATCTGCAAATAAAAGGTGGGATACACTCGACCCTCCTCTGCAGACTCTAATAGGCTTCCACGAACCCATAGTCACTTTTTCAGCGATCAAGTGGGAAAGCTTCTCAACACACAACACAAAAATATAAGGAGAGATTGGATCCCCTTGACGAATTCCTCTCTGAGGAACTATGCAATCCGAAGCCACACCATTTATCAAGACCCTCGAACGATTATAAGTTATAGAAGCCATTATAACACCAATCATCCAATCAGGAAACTGAACTTCAATAAGCACTTTATAGATAAAACTCCAACTAAGTTTATCATAAGCTTTTTCAAGGTCCAGTTTGATTGCCATTGTACCTTTCTTTCCTTTTACTCTCCCCATAGAATGAACCAACTCCTTTGCCAAGGTCCAGATTTATTTGGCACGAAGCTAGCTTGGTAAGGAGAAACTAAATTCTCCATTGTAAGCTTAAGCCTATCCACAATGATCTTGCTCATACCCTCATAAATGACATTACACAAAGAAATAGGCCTGCTAGGGAAAACCCTGTAAACGTAAAAAAAAAAAATTCATGATTAATTATTTTGCAACTTGTAATAAGGACCATCATGTATAGTATTAATATGCTAAAGTTTCTGTTTCAACTTTGGAAAAAGAAAACTGCAATGCAAGCTTTTTAATGGAGAAATAAAATAAATTATCATGTCTCATATTAGGTGTCTGTGGGTCACTGGTTCAACCGCATGATCCGGATATATATATATATATATATATATATATATATATATATATATATATATATATATATATAAAAATTTTAATTTGGGACCCTAGTTATAATTTTTTTTATTTTGAATTAAAAATATGAACATATTACCATTAATAAATTAATAAATAAAAGTAAAGGTGCACACATGTAAATAGAAGAAAAAATGACACATGAAAAAATATGAAAATATAAAAGATTTCAAAATTATTAAAATTTTCATTTTGAGTTTGCAAGAAGAGTGAAATTAGTTTTAGCCCAGTGAATGCAAAAAAGCTGAACAGGCCCAAATTCTCAAAACCCTAATATCCCATTCCATATAACTTTACTTGCAATCTTAATAAGAAAAGAGTAGTAGCCCTTAGGGCGGGCAATATGGGTCGAGCCTGTTTAACCCACTCAAATTGGTGGATTGGGTTATAAGTCTCAACCCACCAACTCATTGTAGCTCGCCCCGTTTACAAAAGGAATAAAACGGGTTGATCATGAGTCGGGTCGAGTTGGCCCGTTAATATTCGAATATTTTTATTTTTTTTATACACAAAAAATAAAAGTATAAAAATTAGGAAACGGATTTACTTACCATCAAAAAAATTTACAACTCTTACAACCAATTTAATCACTGTTGATCTCCGTCAATTTAACGGTTACAATTTATGGAAAATTAATAGCATTTATTGTGTCACATTTATTAATTTTCAATAAATTATAACCGTTAGATTGATGAAAATCAACTATAATTATATTGATCGTAAAAGTTGTAAATTTTTTTTGGTAGTAAGTCTTCCACTAAAAATTAACATTGCTTTTATTTGCCCTAATTTTACACCAGCAATCGCGCCGCTTAGGTCCTCCCCTTCTATTTCTCCCTTTCGTTCCTCGCCGCCGTTCCTCACCGGTCTTCGTTCCTCGCCTTCGATCTCACCATTCATCTTTTTCATTTCCTATGCGTTTCTCTTTTGATTATTAGGATGGAAAGGACATACGCCCAGCAATAGAAAGGAAGACGTTTGAAAGGAGTGCGATTTTCTTTGGATTTGGCTCCACCCCATTCCGTTGCTCTGTTTCTGCCGATTTTCAGAGAGAGACCAAGCGACTCCTGTGTCTGTTTATCTATTCTCGCTTCTGCACAACCGCCTTTCTCCCGTTCATCATCGTTGGAGGCAGAACAGGTATGTTGATTTGAAAAGGTTCATTTTGTAACTTTTGTTATCATCAATTTTGTTGCTGGTTAGGGTGTTTTAGCTTTAAATTATTGATATTGTTCTGTCTTATAGTTAAGAGGAGGAACGTGAGTTCTCTTTTTCAAGGAGTGGTTAGCACTCATTGAAGGTTGGACTTTCATTGTTGAGTTATACTCTTTATATGATGATTATGGTTATATCTTTGGTATGAATTTGAATCGCGAAGGGATAGTTGGATTCAAATCATTTTGTCATTTGTTTATGATAGTTATAGAATTTGTTCAAAACACCCATGAGTATAAAATAAGATTTGACCCAAAATCTGGTAGACTGGTACCGTTTCCACACTATTTGCATACTGCAAGTAGGAAAAAAAAAGTTAGGTTTTCAAAACACCCATACCGTTTCCACACTTCTTAATATTAATCAATGAAAATATTGCAAAGCCAGCCCATTTAACGTCTTCCTTTCTATTCGCTGGTTTTGGAAGTTTTAGCTGGTTTTAGCCAAAACCAGCAACGAAACCAGCATATTAGTCCAGCCGCGAGTTTTCGCATCTCACTAACTCGTGAAGTCCAGCCGCCTCTGTCTCATAAACCCTGATCTGGTTTTCGCTGTTAGTCCTCTTGTTTGTTTTCTGGTTTTCTCTTTTCTTGTTTTCTCTCTTATGGTTCCATTTCTGGTTTCGTTTCTGGTTTTCTCTTCTGGTTTTGTTTCTGATTTTTTTGTTTCTTAAGGCTGTGCCTTCGACCTGTGTCAAAAAAATACATAGCCGTCGGGTTTTTTGGTTATCGGTGAGGGAGTATCTCCGGTGTTTCTTGAACCGGCGGGTCACCGTTTTTAGGAGAGAAAGAAAAGTGAAACCTAGAGAGAGAGAATGTCGTCGACGGTCCTGGAATCGACTCGGGCAGCACACGAGGAGGTGGAGCGGTTGGAGCGGCTGATAGTGAAGGACCTCCAGAATGAGCCTACCTCAAACAAAGACCGTTTGTTTCAGAGCCACCGTGTGCGAAACATGATCGACACTATTACCTCCACCACTGAAAAGCTCGTAAGTTTGCTCATTACGTTTTTTCTTTATTTATCATTCACATCCTAACCTAGTATGCTTTTTGTATCTCTCTCAGATTGAGATATATGAAGATAGCGACAATGCAAGGAAGGATGAGATTGCTGCATTGGGAGGTCAAACTGCTACTGGAATTAATGTTTTTAGTGCCTTTTATGATAGACTCAAAGAGGTTATTTTATTTATTTATTTATTTCAATTATTTTCGGATAAAGTTTTTTCTTGTGTTTTTCAATTTAGAGATTTAAGCTGGTTAGGATATGCTACAAAATAAATAATTGCATATGGTGAAGTTCAGTTGAATTCGTTATTACCAGTGTATATGTAACGGATTGGTTGTTTTGTGGTATTGCAGATACGAGAGTATCATAGGAAGCACCCAGTTGCTCGTGTTGTTGATGCTAATGATGATTATGAAACACTTCTTAAAGAGGAACCTCAAATTGAGTTTAGTGGAGAGGTCTCTCTCTCTATCTCTCTCTCTCTCTGTGTGTGTAATCACCAATTCTATGGAGAATATGAAAATAGTGACAATTCATTAGGATTTTTTGGTTTACCTCGAATCTTTTTTGTGCATGATTGAATCTTTTTTGTTTTCATTTTAATATTCTTGTTTGAGGTGCTTTTTTCTGAAAAGAACAAGTATATATGAAACTAACATATTCTAATGTTAGGATATACAATGTCGTGTTTCCAATTCTGATCATTTATGCTCATGTAGTTTTTTCTGGACATTTTATTCTTCCAGGAAGCTTTTGGTCGATATTTAGACATGCATGAATTGTACCATCAGTATATCAATTCCAAATTTGGAGAGCCAATTGAGTATTCTGCATACCTTGATATTTTCTCAGAAACAGATAAGATTCCACGCAAAATGAAAATGACCAGGTGAGTTGTCTTCTCTATTGAACGAATTTGTTGATCATTTGACATTAATGTGCATCCCACATTTGTATGAAATTCTAAGTTTTTTCCATTCAATTTCTATAGGCAGTACATGGAATATTTGGAGAATCTTTTGGAGTATCTGTTATACTTTTTCCAGCGAACAGAACCCCTGCAAGATCTTGATCGAATTTTCTTAAAGGTGATTAATTTTATGTGGCCACTGTTTTGTACTCATAGTATTTTTTAGCATAATTTTGAGCCTCACTTTTCTGTAAGGATAGAATGGTATTTTTGTCTCATAGTTCTGAAATTGTTGGACTAGAAACTGAATGAATCTTTGCTTTAAATGATTTGCATTAGTTTTTATTACTGAAATTTTTTTCCCAATGAATTCCGTTGTTATGTTTGGGCCGTCAAAGTGTTGTACAAATATGTTCATAATTTTGTGGCAATTTATTCAACCTTTTAATCATTCCACTACCATAATTTTTCCTTTATGGAAAAGTAGTAATCATTTTTTTTTTGGGTATTTATAAAGAAACTTACAACTTTTTTCTTTCCCATAATCCTATTTTCTGTATTAAAACATTTTTTAAATTTGAACTAATGCTAATATTCAACAAATATTTCTGGTGCACATAATTATTGTGAATAGACTTTAAAAATCACTATATGATTTTAATATATATATTTTTTTGGGTGAAAGATTTTAATATATTTTATTTTGTATGCATAGATGCATGCTTGACCATTGACTAGTTTGACCTAAATGAATGAACTTCTATGTTTTAACAGTCATCTTGTGTAATTCCTGTTCATGTTTTCATGTCTGTTCATTTATTGGCCAGAGTAATGTAGAGTTTGTATCACATAATAAGTGGTGTGCATGAATTTTTCAAAGATAACATAAATTTCCATCTCGTTGGCATGGATGGGGGGTTCCTTCTGCATTATTTTCATTTTTTCTTTTTTTATGGGAGGGAAAATCTGATATAGCTTGGCAGGTAACAACTGAGTTTGAAGAAAATTGGGCTACTGGAAAGGTACAGGGATGGGAGAATGACATTCAGGAGAATGGACATGTACCTGCTCAGCACGCAGCAATTGATCTTGATTATTATAGTACAGTTGAAGAGCTGATGGAAGTGGGTCCTGAAAGGTTAAAGGAGGTAAAATTCAGGACTGTGTGTATCCATTAACAATGTAGCTGGTGATGTACAAAGATTCACCCTCTCTTTTCATAAACTTAATATCTTAAATTTCTGTATACATGAAGTACAAAGATCAAGTATTTTGCCAGTCATTGATTTCGGTAAATTTTCGTCTTTTGATAACTGTTTCCCCCCCCTTGTTTTCTGCCATGCTTTTTATATGATAGGCACTGGCTGCATTGGGGCTTAAAACTGGCGGTACTGTTCAGCAACGTGCAGAGAGACTCTTCCTCACAAAGGTGATTTATACTTAACAAAGTACAAGGTTACACATACTTTTTTTTTTTTTTTTTTGTTGGTGGAAGGAAATAGGGATTTAGAGATTATCTCTCTGTAGGGGTTTTTAAGTGACTTTGTTCTTACTATCTTCTTCCAAGTTGACTGTCATAAGTCTAAGATTATTAGTCCATATTCTGGGAACTTCTTATATATACCCACTGCACTGGACCCATATTGACAGTTCTACTGCTAATTTAAGATGTTTCAACTTTTGCTGGCCTATCACTCTTCCCCTGCTATAAAATGTATAACTACTCTCCCTTGAAAACTAGCTAATGTATATATTATTGGGTCTTGGCATAATCTATAATTTTATGCTTTTTGATGGGGATCGTTTCAATTAGAAATGCTTGAAATTCCAAAATTTGTTCAGCTTATCCATTATGTCATAGATTTTGAATACTGTGAAAATGTAAATTCATTAACTATTTATAAAGTGACATTTCTACCTAGCATTGTAGATCAATATTCAATTCAAATCCTTCAAGCCTAATCTCCTATTTGGTTGGAAGAGGCCCTGGTTCCCTGAATTTCAATTATAGTTGCTTTGCTGCTTGTAAGTTGTACCTGCATAATCTGGATTGACAGCTTGACATTACAAATTTTCTTTGGTTTTGTTTTTTATGCAGCACACGCCTCTTGAAAAGTTGGACAGGAAGCATTTTGCGAAGGGGACACGTGGCTTAGAAAAAAATGGGGTTACTGATGTTCCACAAGAAGATGGAAATTCAAAAGAAATTGCATTAATGGAGGCCAAAATGAAAAAACTCTGTGATTTGTTAGAAGAGGTTAGCACATGATGCTTAATTTCCTTTAGTTCCTTTGATGTCTGATATTCACCATTTTGGACATACAATGTCTGCTTGTATAATTTTTCTGACCTTTGTACAGACAATTGCTCGAACAAAAGACAATGTTGTAAAGAAGCAAGCCCTAACATATGAGGAAATTGAAGCAGAACGTGAGGAGGTGAGTTAAAGCAATTTAAGGATTCTCCAAAATTTAGGGATGCATAGTGCATTACTATGACATTAATTTTTCAAATTACAGTTTCATTTTTCTGTAAAAGAATAGAATAACCTAACATCTTTTATGTTTTGGATTCAATAAATATAAACCATTAAATGCACTGTTTTTGTGTGCTTTTAACATCGGGGGGGATGGGATGGCTTTTATGAGTGACTAAGGGGCAGTGATTGGTAATGTACAGTCGTATGAATTATCTATAATGTCTAGGTTCAAAATTTTCTCCAAGATGGCATTGGTACAATCCATTGCATCAATCATATTTACAACTTGGCTACCTAATTAAAATGAGAGGACATTTTGCCATGATTTGATGTACATTATTTATCTTGAACTTAATGTACAACATATGTGAAGGGGATGTTGAGCTAGTCTTTGTATATTTGGCCAACAATATTGAAGTTAATCCATCCTTATTTTAAACAGTAGTGAAAGTGTAAGGTCATCTATGAGATACTAAGTTGTTGCTTAAGCTATCAATGAGCTTGACCTGTTTTCTTAATCTATTCAGATTAAGAAAATGATATTAGTTGCTCACAATTCACATTTAAATACACGAGTTGTTTTCAATCTTCTTCCTGCCATGACACTTACCTTCTATGGCAGGTAAAGATTATTCATCTAGAAATTATATATTTTGATTTGTATCCCACCACTATCAAGAAACTTACATACACACTTTATGTTAACTTGTGTCCACAACTGTCTTGATTATAACTTTGAATCTTTTACCTCTCTGTTTCTGAGTGGAGCATGCCGTTATCAATTGCATCTTCTAGGCCTTGTTAAGGAGGGGTAAAGACTTCACACAAAAAAAGGGAGGGGTAAAGAGACAAATGATCTGGCAGAAATAAATGTTGTAGGAGATAATTATTACCTAACTGGAGAAATTATCGTGCCGCGTTAAAAATATGGGCTTGAGAAGAGAAACTTGTAGAATCGACTGTCAGTTAAATGTACCAAGTGGGTATTTGTGATTGTTGTTGTTTTTTTTGTCCCCCTCTTGTTTCTTTGAAAATGTCAATAAAAACTTTTTTCTATTTTCTTTGTTTAAGTTTCATCGTCCATACTAACAAGGGAAAAAGAAGTTTTGGGCATTCAGCTGTCCCCCATTCACATTGCATTTCCTTCTTTTTTTTTGGCCATTTACTTTTATTCCTTCTTCACTCCCAAATAATAGCTCATTTAAGAATACATTACATTAAATGATCCTTGGCAGGAGGAGACACAAGAGGACACTGAGAGCGAAGATGAGGAGCAGCAGATATATAATCCCCTAAAATTGCCAATGGGATGGGATGGGAAGCCTATACCTTATTGGCTGTATAAGTTACATGGTCTGGGTCAGGTATTATTTATTTGCTGTTAAATTTTGGAGACTGAAACTGTCATATCTTCTCAATAGACATCTGAAGCCGTCAACATTGTTGCTATCAATTCATGAGTCTTGCCAGTCGTCTCAAGCAGATTGGGGCTGAGAAGATCTCCCCCTTCTCCACAAGAGAAGCAGGGAAAAGCAAAAATAATAATAATTTTTTTTTTAAAATATTGTAATCATCTGACTTTACCTCTTAGCAGCAGTAGATAACTCCATTCGTTGACTTAAAAGGAAAATAAGGGACTTGTTATAGGATTTTTTATGGCTCACAATATTTTGATCATATAAATAGTGTGATATGAAATAATTTCAGGAATTTAAGTGTGAGATATGCGGGAACTACAGTTATTGGGGGCGTCGGGCCTTCGAAAGACATTTTAAAGAATGGCGTCATCAACATGGGATGCGGTGTCTTGGTATACCAAATACTAAGAACTTCAATGAAATCACATCGATTGAGGTATACATTTTTATTTTGGTTTCATACCCTTGCTGAAATAGTCAGTCTAATTACGTGTTTTGCAAAGTATTATAAATTACTTCCATCTTCTATGTATAATTACGTGTTTAAGTGCACAAACCTCTTGTTTACTTAATATTTATTATAGGTATTTCACGATTACAATATGTTGACATTACATTTTTTATATTTGATCTATAACTATTTGAAATATAACGTACATTAAAATGTCTGGGTATAACTATCAGCCAATATTTAATTTTTCTTGTATATACTGTATTTATTTATTAAAAGTTTGAGTTGTATGACATTTCAAGAATTTAAATAAAAAAATATATCTGGCTGCATGGTTTGATTTATTAGTGATCTGTGTGTGCAATGCCAGTAACGATATTTCTCCACTATTTCTTTCATCTTTCCCTGCAAGGAAAAGAGGTAATAATCCGCCTCTAGTTATAGATCCTATCAATACTTAAAATCTTGTTATTTTGTTTCAATCATATTATGGTTGCAAGTGCCTGTTTAGTTTGTTTCATGTACCCTCTCTGCCTCTCAACACCTGAGATCACATTCCAATACTGATTCCAGTATTTTTTGTTCCTTTTATGGTAATTTGACTCTGAAAAGTAGCTCTTGGTAAACAATACCCAAGTAACAAATCTGTTCACTGACACTTTTCTGATAATATACACAATTTTGTAAACGAATTTAGCAAAGACTCACCATGAAATCAGAGAATAAAATCACTTCTCAAAAACCTTGAAATATGTGTGCTGCTTTCTCTCTGGGACTCTGCAGTCCTTGTCAACAAGTTTCTGACAAAAATCTATGGTTATTTGTACCTGTAACATTTATGGTTATCTTACATGTCACCATGCTCTGTTGCAGGAAGCCAAGGATCTTTGGAAGAAGATACAGCAAAGACAAGGAGTGAACAAGTGGCGCCCAGATTTAGAGGAAGAGTATGAAGACAAAGAAGGCAACATTTATAATAAGAAGACATACACTGATTTACAGCGGCAGGGACTTATATGAGAAAAAGCAACTTTTTAAAGATGCCTCTTTTCTCTCTTTTTTTATGAAAAAAATTCATCTTCTCACATGATCTGTGTAGTGTGAAGTGGAAGCAGTTTGTTTTTGGCAGGGTTAATAGGGGAATGGTTGTATGTAAACAGTGTTGTGCACTACCATGGAGAAGAGTGGGGCCAGACAGCGAGCCTTATTTTGTACACTTGCTTTAGTAATTGTGAATTGTGAATTGTGATTGATTCCCTAACCAGACGGGAGAAGAAACAGATATTGTCATTGATGTTGTAGGTTTTTTGGTGTTAGTAGTCTACTGATGTCTTTGATTGGAGATTAACTTAAAAAGATCTTGGCTGGGTACGTTAGGAATATACTTTGTATGAACAATGCCCGTAGTAGGAGCGTGTATAGCATGTAGTTGGACTAGTGAACTTGGCACCAATTTTGTTTATGAAATTTTATATTCCAGACTTCTCACGTTTTTTCACAATTTCACATGGATAAACAGTCCTTTACTCATATTCTAATTGAATAAACTTTACCATGGTTTACGGCATTATCAAGGGAAACCCCCAAATGTCGAGCGTTCTGAATCTGAATTCCCTATTCCGTTCTCTCTCCCTCCCTCTCTCCTCTTGAAAAGTAAACCATTGACATCGACATTCTGTAGCTGAGGCAATCTCCCTGCGTAGTTTGCCCACAACTACTAGGTTCTAAATGGGCAAGGTAGGGTTAAATTTTAATTTAAATAGGCAGGTCTATATTAAGTATTTTCAGCTTGATCTGATTTTGACCTAAATTTTGATATAATTTAATTATAATCTTAATCTGATTTATATTTAAAAATTAAAAAGTCTGCCTAGGCTCGTTAGCCTATTTGAGTTTACCAAATCTTTAATACCTATCAAAAATTAAAAATAAATAAATGAAATAATATTATTTTATTGAGTAAATTATTTAAATATGTATTTTATTTTAATTAAAATAAATAATACAATATAAATTGGCCTATAGGCTTGTAGAGTAGGCCTATAAGAGTCAGTGTATTGTCTGTTTTCTAAAAAAAAATCTTAGCCTATTTCATTTTACTGAATATCTTAATTCAGATTTGACCTGATATGGCTCGGGTCATAGATATCTGGTAAATTTTCTGACCCATTTACACTCCCTATTCATAGCATTTCTTAACAGGGAGAGTAAGGCTTTGAGTTATTGCATTTATAGCGTTTACCTGGTGAACATAAAAATGAATTAATAAAGGAAACTTTGACTCGGTGTGTAAAACATAATTATAATAATTTTACCTGATTTCTTTCACGTGAAAATATTATCAAATATGTAATTTTATTCTGACTCCCATAATGTGCTAGTCATCGCCAGAAAAAAGAGTAGATTTATTTGAGACATCGTAGTGCTAACGAAGACACAAATTGTGAAAGTAAAATCAAGACTTTGGGTGTCTATGACTTAAATCTCATTTTCAATATGTATAGCTTGGGTGCATGTATTGCTTTATTAAGTTAATGATGCTCTCATCAATGAAGCAAATATTACAAAGAATTTACAATTTTATTAAGTTAGGTTAATATTACTTTAATACTTACACCCAATCATGACAAATATTTATGGGAAAATGATTTCTTCTTCAAAAGCAGAAATTATTGTCTCTAGCTCTCTGGTGCAGAGACATAATGGTAGAGAGAGAAAGCAAAAATCATTAGAAGTACAAAATGGTAGAGAGAGAAAGCAGAAAATTTGTCTATATGGAAGACAAAATGGTTTCTGCTTTTGAAGCAGAAATTATTTTCCCATTATTTATACCTTTTTAATTATAGGCTAAAATGTTTCTTCAAAAATCATCTTCTTCTGCTAGTCTCACATTAAAAAACAGGCCGTTTCTTTTCTCTTGTTTTCTTTTTCTAAAAACGGCGGGACCCATTGCAAAAAAAAATTGTTCTTCAGTGACAACTGACTGAAGAAGTATAAAGCCCTTAATTATACTTCACATGATAATGCCTTTTTTTTTGTTCACCTTAGAAGATCCCATCCGTCATTAATTTAATTAGAAGAAATATAACATTTATTACTGAACAACTTTAAGATTCATATGTTCTGTTTATGGTCAACCGTTGCAATTATTACGCAAGACAAACATGGACGAGGAGTTCTCCCAGTTGGGAAGCCCATCAACATCAGTACTGTAATTTGACGTGGGTTTTAAAATCACATTCATTTCTATAAATGTTTTGCGTAAGGTAGCATAAAAAACTTTGGGATGTATAATGTTATAAGTCATATGATACATTATGTTGCATACACACAGTCCATGAACCCCACTGTTTAAAAAAAATTAAAAAACAATGATGATGACTCACTTTTAATGTGTCATAGGAGAATGTATTTTGTTCCTGCCACATTATATTCACTTAATCCAAAAACTTTACATTGACATTTGCATTATGAAATTAATTCTTTTTTACTTTTAATACAATGAAGGCATCTTTAGCTAGTTTTTGTATTGTGTCACTGGACAAATCAAGGGTGCCCACATCGATTAGTGTAATTAGAAAAATTTTGTTATTATTTTTATGCGTTGTTCTTAGATTTAAGCCTTAAGATTGCGAGGACACATCTTTATTTAATAAGTCAATCCTTGTATTGAATATGCCTCATTTAACCAAGGTAAACAGCTGGAGGACTAATTAAAACTAGCTAGCTGTTGTAGACGGTTGTTACATTGCCACAAATAACAACACCCAAATTCTAAAGTAAAAGTGATCTAATTCCAAAAGAATAAAAATAGGACGCAATAAAGCCATATAAAAAGGTTTCGTGTGCAACATAATAATAATTGGGGATCAAATAAAATTATCAAATGATTAAGAAAAAGATGAAGAAATTATATATGGACAAGTTTATCTAGGAATAGGATCCGATTCTATTGGAGCAATCGTGTGTTTATGATTTCTAGAAGAGAAAGAAATCCGTTTTTAATAATATAAATAAGAAAGAGAGCTAAGCTTTATTATCGGCATCTTTTTCGAATCCTTATTGATTGAACTCGTAGTCTGACACTTTATTTTCTTCATCAGAGCTAATTCAACTTCACTAAAAAGATCTTCATATGTAATACTTAAGAAATTTTTTGATGTATTCAAAAACAAAAAAAAAAAATTTGATAAAATTTAATCAGAATTTTTCAAAATTTAAAAGATACGAATTATCAAAAAAATTAAGGTAACAAAAATTTATGATTTTACCTATCATTGAGGTTCTAAGCTTTTGTTTTGTTTTATGATTTTACCTGTCATTTTCAATACATGTGTTTAGGGGTACTTGCGGTCTAGATTCGATCAATTTTGAAAGCAAAAAGCATCCAATCCAATCTCTTCGGTTTGATCATATAATCATCCAGTCGGTTTGAATTTTTTTTCAAACCCGATCCAATCCAATCTAATTTTTTTCGGTTTGAATTGGATCGGTTTTTGGTTTTTTGAAAATCCTAAAATTTATTTCATGATTATTGTGCAAATAACATCTTTTGTATATATTGGCTTTGTAAAAAAAAAATTGAAATACAAAAACATTAGTAAACTATAATATAATTTATTTATTTTTGACAATTAGATATGAAGCTCTACAAAGATAAAATTTTGTTGATGAGATGTGACTAGATTTTTTTCTTGGATTTAATTGATGGGTTAATGGGTCTTGGATTTAGAATTTTTTTTTTTTTTTTGTAAATAAAGAGGGGCTAAGCCCCAGAAACAGAAAGAAATTACAAATCAGAAACTAACAAGCTAGACATATTTCTAGCATCAGCAACTATAAGTTCCATCAACTGAGGAGGAGGATCTTTAAAAATCTTGAAATGGAGATCATTGTCTGCCCAGCTTTAGCTAACCAATGAGCACATTTGTTGTTTTCTCTCTTGGTATGAACAAGATGAATAGTCTAATCTGCTTTTAACCATAATCTCAATCTGCTAGTGACTTGAGAGTCCCTATGGATTTAGAAATTTTTAGGCTATGATTAAGATAAGACCCAAGTAGGTAGAGGGGAATTAATATATTGGATCGATTTTCATCAACCCATCCAAAAACCGATATAATCCAATTAAAATTTACGGTTTTTTTCGGTTTTTAATTTTTCAGATTTCAGTTTATTAGGTTATCGATTTTTTGATTCGGTCATTGCGGTTTGGATCGGTTGATGAACATCCCTACATGTGTTCTGAACCCATATAATGGTAATACTCTCAAAAATTCCAAGCATGTTCCTAAACACTTGCTCATCTTATTTAGTTTATCCATTGAACACAAGTATGGGTGTACTTGTCAGAGGCCTACAGCTTAAACTTTTTTGGTTTGACTTGACTTGACATATTTGAGATATAGTATAAATTTAAACTCATTAAAATGCTTGTTTAGAAACTAGGCCACAAGCTTATTTTAGCATGTCTGACCTCCATGACTGACTCGTATTTTTTAATAAATAATATTTTATTTTTAATTAAATAATATATTATTATTTTTAATTAAATAATATATTATTATCTATCTTATTATTTTTTAATAAAATAAAATCTTATAATTTCTAATTTTTCTAGTTTTTCATAATCTTTTATCTTCTCACTTGGCAAACATATTTTTCTTAACCCTAAATTCCTCCGTTGCCACCAATCTTATCTCCTCCGCTAATTTGCCCCCTTCTCAAGTTCTCATACCTTTCAAACCATCCATCGACGGCTTTTTGACCCTTATAACCTTTTATTAATAATTAATTATCAAATTGATCTTCATTATAAACTATTTCAAAAATTTAACCTCCTCCAAAAACATAACACCAATCTGCCCCTGTTTGACCGTTGACTACCAAGTCTACCCGGGTATATTTTGAAATTTTTTACCTACCCAGGTGGTAAGGAGAGGTGTACCCGAGTATTGTTCTTGACACCTGAAAAATTGCTTGAATTATTTATCCAGGTACAAAAGTATCCCACTGGGGCTGATTTGATTTGCATGCTGACCACAAATTGAAATGGTTAGTAACTTATCTGCTTGTTCAACTTCTGACAATCACGTGGTTGCGGTTAAGATATATATTGGCGCTATCTTTAATTTCTTTGTAGACACAATCGCCACAGGGCCACCATTGAGGCATAGAATCTTCATGAAAGTCCAAGGGCTTGCCACTATGCTTTGAACTAATGTGTATATTGGTCTTTCAATCTTTACACGAATCTTGGATCAACAGTTTGCATGTGATTATTTCATTGGGCTTACATATGGAAGGGTTCGTTGATTTGCTCAGTTTTCCTTCTTGCACTTTGCATCATTGTATTTGGATTTGGCAGCAACGAATGTGACAACGACTTCTGCACTTTTACCATTATTGGATGGGAAGTGAAAGTTGTTCTCAACTAGCTCCTTCATGGCGGAGACTGGTCATTGGCTCACCATGCATAAATCTGGTCATTGGACTCGGTTGCATTTGTTGAATGAATTTATGGCATAGCTTTCATCTGATGAGGTGTCGGGTTGCAATCCAGTGTCCAAGCCAACTCAAATTTATATTGGATTCCTTGCCATTATAATTTGAAGATTGTCCATTCCAATTTGTGGTCAAGCAAATCAAATCAGCCCCACGGAGATTTACCCGGGTACACCCCTCTGTACCCGGGTAAATAATTCAAGCAATTTCTTAAGTGCCAAGAACAATACCCGGGTACACTCCTCCTTATTCGGGTAGGCAAAAAATTTCAAAATATACTTGGGTAAGGAGGGGTGTACTCGGGTAGACTTGGTGGTCAACGGTCAAATAGGGGCAGATTGGTGTTATGTTTTTCGAGGGAGTTAAATTTTCGAAATAATTTATAATGAAGGTCAATTTGATAATTAATTATTAATAAAAGGTTATAAGGGTCAAAAATCCATCCATAGACTTTGGCACTTGATATTAAGTCCTTATTCTTTTTTTTCTCTCATTGACAAAATTATCTCTTTTCAAAATTTTCATTAAATAAAATAACACATTATTTTATTTATGAGTTTTGTATGCATTTACATATTTTATTCTTGTTTGTTGGGTATGTGTTTATGTATATTTTTTTATTTGTTTCTCTTTATTTATTTAATTAATTTTTGTTGAGAAATTTTTTTTATTAGCCTAATTTGATTGTCTTTCACTTATTTGGTAGTTGCTTCTTTCATATTTAAATATCATGGTTGTTTAGTCTTAAAATAAATAATTTTGAGCATATTTTTCATACACAAAAGTACATAAAAAATATGTGTGTATATGTGTATCCATGTATAAACTTTTAATTTATTTTAAATTCAATTAAAATTCAATGTTATAATTAAAAATAAATACAATTTGATTCGATTTATTGGTTTTATTTTTCAATAACGTTATTACCTTCTAACGTTAGAAGGAACATTACCACAATATTGCCAAAAACTTTTATGCAAAGATAATAAACAACGTAAATTGCCACACTTCAACAACGCATTTCAGCAGGTAAGGTCTGGGTATTGGTTAGTTTAGCCACTCATCAAATCAAACACCAACAAAAACTTTAAAAGTTAATACCCAGCAGTGTTTCCCCCCCTCAACCAGCTTTCGATTCAAAAACAGCTCCAATCAAACTTTATAATTGCACCAGTCGATCGTTTTTTCAATCACAAGTGGGAGAGAGATGCAATTTTAATTAAGGGAATATCCAACACACGTAATTTCCATGGTGCAACTCCGATTACGATTACGAACATATACTAAAATATCCTCACACGATAAAGGCTTTTGTACATGCATAGCAAATTGTAACGACGTATACATATAGGCTTATGATAAAAGCAATTTGGTTAATAAGTATATAATTTTTTATTGTAAAAGATTTGCCAACACTAATTTTTCTACAAAGGGTAAATCTATAAGACAACCTAAAATAAATGACAAAACCATTTATTTTTAAAACAAAATTTATTCTCTTATTTGAGGTTAGAGTATAAATAACATTTCAAGACTCTGAAACATAAGAAAGAGTAACATGCAAACACTGAATGTACAAAACATATTAAAAGTTTAATTACCAAGAGAGAAAAAATTAACTATATACATGTGCTTATTTGAGTGAAAATAAGAAGACAACAATAAAATATAAATACCATAATCACTTACACCTAACGAATCAAACTTTAAAACAACCAGAGACAAGTATACTGGGACAAAGTAGCAACTTAAAAAATAATCAGTAAAAAAACGGAAGAGAATGTGGCTTAAATAAATTGTTGGGGAAAAATGGGTTGTAAATGCACAAACATGAAATAAAACCAGAGAAGTAATGAATAGTGCCAGCTTAATATTTATTTGGAAAATATTTAATAGAAATGAACTGGATTTCCGAGCCGCGTTAAGCCCATTGCATTCGGGTAGAAGGAAGTGCAACTTAGAAGAGAAATACTTGCTGCTACGGCATGCTCATGCAGAAATGCTGAAGTAGGAGGGATGAAATGCTAGGAAACACATGCACGGAGGGTCTGAAAAGCGCTATTCTAGAATACGAATGCCATTTCTTTTTATTTCCTCGCTCAGAAAGAAAGCAACAAAAAAGGGGGAGGAAATTAAAACCTGATGGATAAAAAGCAATGAAAGATTTAGAAATTGTCTCAATGTGTACTTTCAGGAGAATGATGTATCCGGCTTAAAATTAGCGACTCAGACTCATTTGAACCAGGTATCAAAGCATCACAAGCTTTGGGAGACCCATCCTCAAAAATTAAGTGATTAACCCTTGTGTCACCAAAACCCAACTCTTTTTCTGCACAATGGGCAAAACCAGTAGTTTTGGCTTCACTATTCACGTTCTCACCCTCTTCGTGCAAAGTGGGAGCCAACTGAGCTTTATTTTCGAATGCCATGGAGTAATTCTCCTCTGCATCCCCCGAATTCACCTTATTAGAAGCGACTTTGTCCTCTTTCTCACGCGAACCTGCTACAGCTTCTTCTTGGTTCTTGTGACCAGAAGATGGACTAGACATGCCTATCTTCAAAGAATGGGCACAATCATGATCTTGCTCCATTTGGCTACACGATTGATTGATCTCTTCCAAATGCTCCTTTGCAGGAGATAGAGTTTCCACTTTCTTGGGTTCTAATGAAGTTATTAGCACATCTTTTATTCCATCAGAAGCTGATACAGGAACCTGCCCATTCTCCAAAATGGGAAAAGGAACTGGCTCATCCACTTGCATCTGGTCGGATGCTGCAATGATATCTACCTCACCCATTTTAGGCAGTTTCACACTCTGCTTCTTGTAAAGGTCCATGGCTCTCTGCAAATTGGAGAAAATGTTCACTCATCAGGAGTCCAGAATTCAGTATTTATACATTCATAGAAATGAAGTCAACAAAATTGACAAGTTCAGTAAGTTAAAATTCTGGAAGACAAAGCAAATTTCTATAGCCAGTAAATGTTGTTACAGCACTTAGGGTTAAGAGAAGAATGATTATATTGTTAAAATCAAAAAGAAAGATGGGCATTTTTCACCAACAGAGAATTTCTGTAACCAGACTTATAATTGATCATCTAATTTTACCTGGAAGATAGAATTATCAATAGCTGGAAAAGGCGAATGCCTTGATAAAGTGGCAGCATATTTCTGTCGTGCTCTCATTCCATTCTGTCAAATCACATGACAGGAAAAACTAATAATGTCATCTTTCATTTGTTGCATTTAATTAATAAAAAAGGTAATAAAAACAGTTTCATATTTTTATATTTTATTTTTGGGTACATTGGAAGCCTGAAAGACCAATACAGTTTCCATTTAAATAAGGGGAAAATGTATATCATTTTAAAGGATATAAAGTTGTATCCTTTTAAGAGAGAGAAAGAAATAGATCATGGGGGAGAGAGAGAGGGAAAAAAACTCACTCTCTCTCTCCCGTGATTTATCTTTTTCTCTCTCTTAAAAGGACCATCCTTTAAAAGGATACACACTTTTCCCTTAAAATAAATACACCACTACACTCAAATAAACAAGTTAAAATCACTTCTCTAGAGATTAGGTAAAAGAGTATTAATTAAAAGTTGATTTTGGTAGAAGCTTTATCAGTTTTGAGAGGATAAGGGAAGCAAAAAAGTCTTCATGAAATTATACCTTCGAGAAAAGTTTGGCACTAGCAACTGCATCAGTGGATACATCCTTGTCGACATTAAGAGCGCACATACACTGGTCATACAACTCTGGCAGCACTAATTCTTCTGAAATATCAAGCTTGGAAAGGTAGAAACGGCTGAAATGAGAAGTATTGTCACTTGGTGTCGATGTATCAGGCATCTTTTCAAGAACAGTTGGGGATAAAGAGTTCAAAGGCACTTTTGCTGGAGAACTGAGACTGGACAACTTTGTTTCAGGAGATTTCTCATGAGATTCAACCCGATTGTGCTCATCCTGGGACATCTGAATAGTCTGAACATTCAAACTGTTATCAAACAGGGCAGGAACTGATTCATCTTTGCAGGCTGGGGAGGGCAAGTCCTTCTTTGAATCACAATTTTGGTCTTTCCAAGTATCTGAACCAGATTCCCAACCATGACTATTTGTTGAATGCCTGTTCCTGTCCCAATCAGAGCCACCATACATGCGAGGATCATCTCTGAAGACACCATTATTGCTATCCCATCCATGCATATGAACGGGTCCTGCACCATCCATCAAATTTGGCCACCCAAGTGGGCGCAAGCGACCTGGAAACCTGTCAGCATCAGCAATATGGTAAGGAATGCCAGCATGGTTAACTTCCATTGGAGGCCTAACACCAAAGTGAGGTTGAGACGTAAACTGTGGCATCATCGGTTGAAAACCTCCATGAGCCGGCCCAGGAGGGAAGGGAACAAAGCCATTTGGTACTGGTGACGTCCAGCTTGGAACTGCCCTCCAAGAATTGCCACCATGCACTCTTCCAAAACCAGGTTCATTACTTCTTCTGTATCGTGTATTGGAGTTATCTCTAACATCATCCTCTAAAGAACCCATATAAGGTCTGTCTAGTGCAGCCCTGAAACCAGGTGGAAGAGGAAGCAATGATGCATTGCTCTGATTAGTCCTACCATAAATGGATGAATCTGCTTGAGAGGGCTCATCCAATAGTGGTTTCTCAAGAGTCGACTCCCGGCCAAGTCTATCATCAGAAGTAGAGAAATCTCTTGCATCCGTACCGCTTCTCCTTCCACTTTCATCAATTTCAAGATTCCGCCTAACACTGCTTTTATTCCCATACTTGCGTTCGATGCTAGTTGATGAAGGAGATCTTTCCATCAGTCCCATGGGTGAAGCCTTAGCACTGGAAGGCCTTTCAGTTGACAAGTCACCTGCAGGACATTCATCAATTTTAATGGGTTTTTCCATTAATTTGTATTTATGACCTCCATCTGATATCCCAGAGTAACCCTCTCTTGAGCTTTTGGTTCTCTGTTCTATTGTTGAGCCTCTATAATTTGGATCTTCAGCATTTGCATTTCTGAAACATGGGGGAAAATGGCAACCAGTTAAAACTGATCGTGGTATGATTACCATACTTACAATGTTAGACCTAGCAATAAAATTTAAATCGAGCAACCAACATTTCAACTGTCATCAACAATCTCAGGTTAACTACTTACCCTGTTGGCAAAGCAAAAGTTTTTTTTTTATCAAGCTTCAAAAACATCATATTTAAACAACAGTGTAAAAATATGTTATTAATGGGGCAAAAAAAAACCTTAAAAGGTAATCTTTACAGACAATACAGTATTCATAAACGAGTAGGGGATAAATTAATCATTAAAACTTCCTTGGAGCAAATTACTCATGACAACTGTGAACTGTTTATCAGCAATCATAGTATAACACTACTTTAAAACAACAATACCCCGAAAAAACTAATAAAAAAGACAATACCACATTAAACCCCGACTAATCAAACCAAAAAATGCACAAATCAACTTCCCTAATATCACAAGGCGGGAGGAAATACCACCTAAAAGACAACTCAGAACATGAACTTACAATGCTCCACCAAACTTCCATTTAAGTTGAAAAGTACCTATATTCATCTTTGCCAATGTGTGTATTTGAGGCAGGAGATCTGTGTTTATTGCTAGTCCCAATTGAATCTGCATGAGCTTGTCGAGGTCGAGGTCTTCCCCGGTCAACATCGGAATCAGCTCTAGTGCTGCTTAAACTCCTCTTCTCTGCATCAGAATAGTAGCTCTTAGCAACTCTAGATTTTGAGTCACTATAATCAGCACGATCATCCAAAGTTCTTTTCTTTGTCCCACTCTCTTTGCCTCTAGTACTTCTATCATCCCCATGTGACCCATCACGATCACGGTGACGGTCACGGTCTTTGTCTCGGTCCCGATCATGATCTCGATCACAATCCCAGTCCCAATCTCGATCTCGGTCATAAACATGATCCCTGTCAAGATCATAATCACGATCACGATTTCGTTCATTGTGACGCTCACGATCACGAACAAATTCCAAATCATGGTCTCGTTCTCCATCACGATCACGATTATGGTCCCTGTCACTCTCTAGAAGCTTGGTTCTCTTATGTCGAGATTCAAAATTATTTTTTTCTTCCCTTGCATGTTTATCATCAGACCTAACAGTAGGATGATCTCTTGCAGGACGCTCAACCCGTTGCTTGTCATGTCGATGTTTGTTCTCCCTGTCCATTTCTTCCAAATACTTGTCTCGATACTTCTCATCTTTTCGCCTATCATCCTTTTTCTTTCCCTCCTTGGCAGTGTCATCCCTAGAAGACAAATGTCTATCATAACCATCTCCGACATCATCTTGATGCTTATCACCATCACCATAGCCATCCCTCTTCTTCCTTGTTCGCCTCTCGAGCTGGTTATCAAGTTCAGGGCTTCGCAACTCATCTATTTTCTTTGAATCTGCAATAAAGCATAGCCGCATAGATCAAAATCAACAACTATCTTCTGAAGAAATCAGAGTACATCATATGTCTATACACAACAACAGTCCAGAAGAAACAATGTGCATCATATGGAAGGTTTTACAAGAAAAAATATTAAAAATAGGGACCAAAACATTAAAAGTCCAAACTTCATCCATGGAAGTAGTGAACTTAAAACATTTCAAGTCATGTTATGAACAAATCAACACCCGGGCAACTAAAGGTTTAATTTCTCCAATAATTCACATCCAGAACCTTAGAGACACGGGCATAGACTTGTTCAGAATCATTTTAATATCCCAAAGTCAAACATTAATTCTAAAAAGTTCAATTAGATATTAATCACAACCACTGGTTGCACAGTATTGCCATATTTATCCCAGCATGATATTCAGTTTAGCTGGCAATGGTACAAAAAAGAGGAGATGAATTGTTTTGTTAAACTCTTAAATTTACTAACCACATTTTCGAATGACACAGATAAATGACTAGAACGGTAGATTACGAAGAACCAGCTGGGAACCAAGCTAAAAGTTCATGATATGATACATCATATGGTTTTCTCCAAAAGAGTCAAAAGAAATTGAAAACATCCAGAGAAGTTCACAATCTAAATATTGTAGAGAATCAACCAAAGCCTATAAGCTAGAATAAAAGTTGTGTCTTGTATCCATCCTTGGAGCACTTTTCCTTGATCAGTAACACCTACTTCCCAAAAGGAAAGGAAAAAAAATCTCTAAAATAGCATTACTAATTCATGCCACATGGATAGAAGGTAAATATGACAAAAGAAGAAATACGGGAGGACACTAGAACTCTTGAACAAAAACACAAAGAATACAGAAAAAGTAAACAATTTGAAGACCTCACAAGAGAAGAAAATGGGGCTAAAGAACCTTGTGTAGCATCCTGCTTTGTCATTGTTAACACTGATATATTGTCAACACTCAAAAATCTATATGCAATCATATTAATTAACTCTATTACCAGTATTGAGGCCTTCATCACATCAATCAAACCCACGAAATTTTGACATTTTGGTGACAACCACATTTGATCTCTATATAGATAACTTTTTGTTCAATTATCTTAAATCTTCGACAAATAATCTAATGAATCTATCTTCCCCCAGTGAGGCACAACACCCTTAACTGTAGATTTCCAGTCAATTCTAAACTGCTTTTAATTGCCAGATCATATCAAATAGAAAACAATCCATGGCATTAGTGCAAACTTAGCATACATGAATGACGAGTTCAAACAAAGAGTTGGGTATAAATTTGATAAAGTTATATAGGATTTGAATTTTCTCTTGAAGTGGGCATGTTACGAGAAAAAAAGACGAAGTGCATTTTTTTAATATCAGTGAATCCAACACAAACCATGATGGGTCCCTTCACAACAAAATCTCTCCCTCTGCTGTTAATGTGAAAAAGGAGAGGATCCAAATTCCATATATATTTGTATACTGTCTCGAAATATAATTAGAACTTCTCATCGAGAAACAGACATTTATTTTGATATGTAACTTTGGAATACAGAAAAACTATTTAATTAAAATTATTAATAATGACCGACTTGGCAGTTAGCATCCATTTCTTCAACATCCAACAAATGACTTGAAACTCAACATGAAGTGTTCATCATTTCATTTTACATACATAATCAAGGGAACTGGTAACATATTCAATTATTGCAGTTTATATTCATTCCTAAAAAGAAAAGGAAAAGTTGAACAACTTTTCTTATATGCTTTTATCTTAATGGAGAGATTCAACAGTGCCTAACAAGTCAGTTACTTTTCAACTGTATATTCTTAACATCTATTTGAATCAGTTCATGTCAATTCATAAGGTGAATTTAACATTGTACAGACAATGCAGAGATGCATTTACCCAAGCAACTCAACTAATACTCGAAGCGAAATACTGTGCACCTCAATTTTCTTTCCTTATGATGTCAAATAGGGCTTTATAATAAGCTCTGCTCCTCTGCTCATCATCCCATGGCCCTCCATAAGAGAGGCGATAGAATTTGAGCTCCTTCGAAAGGATGAAGGAAGAAAAGCATTTAAATAAGTATATAACAAAAAGGAATCTGATAGTATTAGTTACTGATAGATCGAAACATTGAACAAATAGAATGGGAGGAACAAGGAGAGACTCCTTTAATTATAGGATATGCCTATTCTAATGAACCGAGAGCAGTGGATCATATGAGGGTAGGGTAGCATCAGTTTGAAGAGATATGTAAGGAAAATATTGGAAATCGGTATTTGATATTCAGAGTAAAGCTAGCATTAGCCGCTAGACAAATTGGTTATATACAATTTCAGGACTGCTTTTGTAGGCTGAGAGGCCACCCATAGATACAACTGGTAGGTTTCAAGTGGCGTGTGCTTCTTGTTCCTAAATCCTAAGTAGGAGGAGCTGCATTAATACTCAAAACTAATGTATAAATGGCTTGTGCTTGTTATTTTTGTTCCTAATAAAACACACAAAGATCAAAGCTCAGCATCAATTCCGGAATGAGGTTAATCCTTCTTAACACGAATGCAACATATTCTTCAGTTCAAAACACGTTTATGATACTATCAATGCAAGACGATGGAAAATAAAAAATAAAAATAGGACAGACATGCCACAAATCAATCAGTTTAAGTTACCTTACCATTATTTTCAAACACATGCTTGGTCACGCGGGGTTCTTGGCCATCAACCGATTCCTCGCTTCTACCTTCTTTGAACTTCCTTTCCTTTTCCTTCTCGGCCCCACCTTCTCTGCTCTCCTTTCGACCCGAAGATGATGAATCCTTATGCTTCCCGTCGCTCTTGCCGCTACTCCTCTTGACATCCTCACCCTCACCGTACACTCCAACACTCCCATCCCTCCTCCTACTCTTCGAATCCCTCAACGCCTTCGAGTTCTTCGATCCTTCCTCGCCGCCATTCCACCTATCTCCTCCACCTTCCTTACGCCGCTTCGAGGAAGAAGCATACTCATCCGAATACTCTCCATTCCCGTGCACGTCCTTCGAATCCAGCCTCCGCTTCTCAACAGAACTCGAATCCTTCGATGCCTTCGCGGCGCTCTCGTCCTTGCTCTTCCGATCCTTCAGGCCGGAATCTCTCTCGGAGTCAGAGTACTCCCTCGCATCCCTCGAACTGTGTTTGCTCGATTTATGCTTCGAACTGCGCGGCATCGCGGAAGCAAATCCCGAAACCCTATTAGGCGAATTCGAATCAGAAGCGGAAACCCTAATTTTGGAAGGAAGCAGTCGAGTAGTTGAATAAGACTCCGAAACCCTAACAGAGAAAACAAATAGAGACGTCGTAACAGTTAGTCTCCACCGGAGAAAAGGAATCTTCGATCGCAGAGATCGAATGTGACCAAAATTACGGGAAGCTCCGTGAGGGACTCGGGTCGCGGTTCGGGTCGGTTAGGGTTAAATGCCGAACACCGTGTAAAATTTGAGTTGAACGAGTGAAGAAAAGCGCAACAAAAATCACAGGGCTTTTTCTCTCTCTGTCTCTTTAGGCTCTTGTATGGAAAACATGTCTCCTTTTAAATGATATAAATTTATATAAATATCTCTGTTCATCAATGGTTATAATCTATTGGGTCAAATTTAATGGGCCAAATTTATTATTAATTAATTAATAATTTTGATCCAATAAATTATAATTGTTGATGGACGAAAATCAATGATTAAATCTAAAATGATATAAATTTATATTTTAAAATTACAGATGTTATTTTTTTATTATTATTATTATTTTTGAGTTTTTCTTTTTGCTTTATCGGAGACTCGGAGAGGACCTTCGGTGGGGTTAATTAGGAATTTAGGATTTTGTAGTTACGGGATTGCCCTCCCTTTTTTTGATTTATGACGATGGTATCCCTGTGCGGCGCGGGTTTCGTGTTTCGTTGACTTTCACAATGCTGCAATTAATTAGGTCATGCTGTTCTTCCAATAAAAATTGGACACGTCCTTTCCTGGTGGTGCCAGATGATCAGCTGCAACCTGTCTCACTGTGGGGGTGTGGGGTCTACTTAAACCGCCTTTAAATTTTATTTTATTTTTGGTATCCAAACCAACTCTGATTTATTACGATAAATCTCACGTGATAATGCGCTGAAGGAGTAAATCTCTTTTAAAGCACTATTTTAAAATTTAGTTTGATTATTGATTTAGTTGAGGTATTGGATTTCGAAATAATTAGTTTAATCTCATTTTATTGGTTTTTTTTTACCTTTTTGTCTTATTAATTAATTAATAATTATTTTTCCCTTTATTCATAATTATCTATCAATCTGCCCATCTTTAATCGATTAACTTGAAGATTTAATCGATGAAGTGGTTGAAACTGGAAAAAATAGTTGACTTGAAGATTTAATCGATTAAATCTTCAAGTTAATCGATTAAACCTCCCTCTTAATTTATTTAATCGATTAAAACTTATATTTAATCGATTAAATATCTCAAATAAGCGTGAAATCATTGATTCCAACTCGTAAAATGGCAAATCTTAATAAAACGCAATCAACTCTTATTAAATACAAAACACAATCAACTCCTATTATTAAATACAAAACGCAATCAGTTCGTATTAAATACAAAACGCAATCAGCTCCAATTAAATACAAAATGCAATCAGCTCCTATCAAATCACAACAGACAACAAAGGTCAAATCTCCTCCATAAACAAAAAGGAGTTGATTGCGAATCTTGAATTTAATATAATACTTAGCAGAATCTTCAATCAGTTTTCCGTGTATTGGATGTTATTTGAATTTTGAATTTTGAATTTAATGTAATAGGAGTTGATTGCAATTTGTAATTAATAGGAGCTGATTGTGTTTTGTATTTAATAGGAGCTGATTGCGTTTTGTATTTGATAATAGGAGTGGATTGTGTTTTGTATTTAATAAGAGCTGATTGCGTTTTATTAAGAGTTGTCATTTTACGAGTTGGTATCAATGCTTTCACGCTAATTTGGGATATTTAATCGATTAAATATAAGTTTTAATCGATTAAATAAATTAAGAGGGAGATTTAATCGATTAACTCTTCAAGTCAACCATTTTTTCTAGTTTTGACCATTTAATCGATTAAATCTTCAAGTTAATCGATTAAATAGGGACAGATTAGTAGATAGTTCTGAGTAAGAGGCAAAATGATTATTAATTAATTAATAAGAGGCAAAAGAGTCAAATAGCCCATTTTACTAGATATATTATTTATATATTAAAAAATATATAAATATATTATTTATAATAATACGAAGAAAGTAAATGATAATAAATGTCATAAGTGAAAGAAGAATATTACTTTTATACATAACAGAAAGTTTATCATAATAATTTACATAATTTTCAATTTTTTAATCAAATTCTCATAAAGATAACTAGAATGCATAAAAATAAAAGAATAAAATTAACTAAATTATGTAAAAATGACACATTTCATTATCTCTCACGAGTCCAACCCCTCAAGGTATAAGGAATTTGTGAATCAATTTTAAAAGTGGATATCGTGAATCAACGACCATAACAAGCTGGTAAAAGGTGCGAAAAAATAAGATTATTATTTTCAAGATTTTACGCACTTTGAGACGATACAAAGCAAATGTCAGATAAAAAATTACTGCACTGTGGATATTTCCTTATAAATATAAACGCATAACCGATGAAAACAACAATACTGTTTATCCAAATACTTTAATAAAATATAGGTTTTTTTCAATTACATAATATATTAATAGGTAAAAAAGAATGAATGCCCATTTGGGGAGAGCTAAAAAGTTGGCTATTATACATAATCCCAATCAGAATTTTGTTTCTTTTTCTTTCTTGTTTAAGTTAAAAAATCAAATTACTTTTAAGATCTTCCTTTAGTTTCAAGCTCACGACGCAGGTCCAGCTTGCTTAAGACTTTCCCCCCTTCTTTTCTTTGAATAAGAAGCAAACTTAAAAAAGAATGTGTCAGTTTTCTAAAAAAAATGGGGTCAATCGGGTTTCGTTTAACCCACTGCGTTACCGAGACTCGGCCTGGTCAATCAATCTGAACCCAATCAAGTGCATGATCGGTCCAAACAGTCACCAGACCGGTGTCCTCGGGTCACCGAGACCCGGGTCAATCCGAATTTTAAAACACCGGAGGTAAGTCTTATTATTATTATAATTAATATTATTATTATTATGACTTTAATGTTTCTAAAGTGAACGTAGTTAAGTTATCTACATTCGCTCCTAAAATGACGTCATTTTGGGTTGAAAAACTATAATGAAAAGACTATTATAACCCTTAAATAAATTAAAATTATAAAAATACCTTGATTTTCGCTTCAAAATGACGTCATTTTGGGCTTAATGTAGATAAGTTATCTACATTGACCGTAGAAAAAACGAATCATATTATTATTTATTTCACAATTCTTTTTCTGAAATTGGAGAAATTTTATATGATGAAATACACTTACAAAGTTTGAAGAAAAAGATAACACAAGATAATTGGCTTTTTGAACCTTTTGCTCCTTATTAATTAATTAATAATCATTTTTTCCCTTATTCAGAATTATCTACCAATCTACCCCTCTTTAATCGATTAACTTGAAGATTTAATCGATTAAATAGTCAAAACTGGAAAAACGGTTGACTTGAAGATTTAATCGATTAAATCTTCAAGTTAATCGATTAAATCTCCCTCTTAATTTATTTAATCGATTAAAACTTATATTTAATCGATTAAATATCTCAAATGAGCGTGAAAGCATTGATACAAACTCGTAAAATGGCAACTCTTAATAGAACGCAATCAGCTCTTATTAAATACAAAACACAATTCACTCCTATTATTAAATACAAAACATAGTCAGCTCATATTAAATACAAAATACAATCAGCTCCGATTAAATACAAAATGCAATCAGCTCCTATCAAATCGCAACAGGCAACAAAGGTCAAATCTACTCCATAAACAAAAGGAGTTGATTACGAATCTTGAATTTAATGTAATACTTAGCAGAATCTTCAATCAGTTTTCCGTGTATTGGATGTTATTTGTATTTTGAATTTAACTATAGAAAAAGATATAAAGGAACTTATTCAAAGACAAACCACGGGCTATTTGAACTCTCTTTCTTTTAAAATTTGACACGAGGTTTATCAAATTAAAACATGATTGTTTAAATTTGTTTTGATTAAAAGATCACGAACTGTTATAACCGTTTAGATTAGAGATATAACTACGATACGAAGCATGAACATGTAAGTTAAACAGTTGTGTCTAATGTTGTGTTTGTCAATAATCATTTATCAATAAATTGTTTATTTTTATATCAAAATCATCAAATCAGTTTCCCCCTCTCCCACTGTTTTAAATGTAATTGCTTCACAAAAAACCTTCAACCACCCGAGGTTAAATGAGTAGAGAGCTTCTGATTACAATTTATGAGCGAATTTAACATAAAAGGTATCTAATCACAACTCTCCAACAAATAATAATCTTCGGCACGAGAATGTTAAAATTTGACATAAACTACTTATATGAAAAAAAGAATTATTTATCTTTTTCTTCATAAATATTCACAATTTTTTTTTTAAAACAATCACATTAAACTATAAGAAATAAACACAAATTTAAGATGACAAGATGATATAATTTTTATTTTGGTGAGCAGTATAAAATTTTAACATAGGTGATAAATTCCCCTTAAACATAATATCTTTTTCTAAGTTTGAACCACAAATCCCTTTTGCTTTTAATATCTTTCTGCATTATCCATAAAGTGAATTATTATACTTATAAATGGTGACTAACGTGAACCAAGTTCTTAGAATTCTCATCGGTTAATTATGACCTAACCCTCCTTTTAATAAAGAATTCAAAAATTAACTATTTTACTTTGATATTTTTATTTTAGTCATGGAAATTTATATGAAAAAAAAATAATCCCATTTAAAATTATAACATTCCACAAACGTTAAAAATGAAAGCATGTGCTTCATGACCTCAAAATACTATCTTGTAAGAAAATAAATTTGTTACTGAAAGTCTGTAATAAAGAATGAGTAAGAGATCGACCAAAACTTATTTAAAATTAAATATTGAAATAAGATATAATGAAGTAAGAAATAAATTGCATATAATTTGCTTAACGACAAAATGAAAAAAAAAAAACTATTATTACCGTGGGGATGTAATTTTTTTTCTATTATTTACTTTATACATATTATTATTTTTATTTGTTATTTTTTTATTCCCATGATATACTATTATTGATTATATTAAATATTTTGAAATAAGTGCGACGTTGATGTTAAAATTTTTATTATCAATAAAATCCAACTGATAGATAATTAAGTTCTTTAAGCATATTGACAGGAGTTCGATCTCTAACTGTATGTATATAAAAAAAATTATTAGAAGAGATTTATTCACTTAGTGTAATCTCCTGCCTCAAAAATATTAGTCTTCTACTATTGGTCGGAGAATAATTTAAAAAATAAAAAATTAATTTTATTAACACA